ATCATAAGATTGAAAAAGTGGAAGCCTCTTATTCACATCTATCACAAATCAGTTTGATCTCTTCAAATAAAACTGTAGTAATATAGATTTGTCATTCTATGTGGGTCAGGGCTAAAACATTGTTTTCCTTTCTAAAATAATATATCCCTATAAATATAATCCTATTGGTTGTAGGACAATGTGTAATCTAATCAAGAGCCACTTAATTTTACTAACACTAGTTGTCATTAGTTGATATTTAGTCAACTAATTTTCTAGGAACCATGGCATATTGTTGGCTTCTGGGACTTTATATTAACATGTAACCCTCACTGAATAACACAGTCCATATTCTATAAGGATTGACCTCTTGAGCAGTTGGTACCAGTAACAATCTGAATGAGCATCAGCCTTTTAATGCTGTATAGCTAGTGCCTCAACGAACTTTAAAAGTACTTAGTTGCAATGAGATTTTCAATTTATCACGTTCTTCATATATATCTTCTCAATGAAGTACTTCCATAATAAAGAATTATAGGTCTGATACTACTATTGATAAGGAAAAAGCCTAACTAGCTCACACTGTTTTGGGATTTGTCAAACACTGACACAGGACATTTACAGTTTTTCAAATTATTCACAGGGAAGTTTTTAGCAGACAACATTGTTGGTTCAGTCCTCGTCTTTTCCTTAATTTTGTGGATTCCCCTCAGCATTCTTGTCCATTGTGTGGTAAGTCACAAGTCTTTAAGTGATGATGAATTTAATTTTGATTACAACAGTCTACTACACTTTATGAAGGATAGGTGGAATTTGATCTTGGCAAAATACTGTGCAAAACTTTCCCCCAATGAACCTTGAATGTTACTGGGACATTGCTTCTCACTGCTTTGACCTTGTATTAGTCAAAAAATGCATTTCTTTTAAGAGTAAATCTTAGTAAGAATCCAGTTAGACTACTCTTATTTTGCAAAAGAGTACTGTATTAACAGTAGATGATTTTGCATCTTAGTTTAGTTTTAAAACACAGCCCTTAAGCATTAGGGGACCCTGATAAAGTGGTCCAAAGAAATATTTTAAAGACCACCTAAGTATAAGCAGAGATACCTCAAGCAATCATCTCCAAGTTGTTATCATCTAGTTCTGGATGTACTAAGTCAATCTAGCAATAAGTGCATCTTGTTCCCCTTGCAATAAAACTTTGAGGAACTCAAAATGCTTTTCAGATTGCCTTCTATGTGGGATAGCAGGTAAGGAGGCAGTATTTTCTTCATTTTAGAGAGACCTAGCTCTCTTGACTTGGGCCCACTCCATAACTCCTGCTGTTCTTTTGTTTACCCTTCAAATAGTAATTTTCATTATGTTCATCACATTTTAAGTGGGGCAGATGCTTTTTACAGCCATAAAGCAGGCACTTGCCAACTACCAATAAGAGCATGAATTCTGATTCTTAGTTCTATAAAAATACAGCATAGTTCAGGAAAGGCTTTTTATGTATCTGGTACCCATATGAGCTTTGTGTTTTGGAAAGACTTGTTTTGGGCGTTTGATTCTTCCACGTAGTCCATTCAGCACAGGACTGGCTGCTCGTTGAAAAGGCTGTGGAGGAAGTTAGAAGCAGGAAGGTGTAGGTATAGGGATGGAAGGGAAGTGGTAGTGAGCAGGGGTGTGCAGGCATAGCTACGTTTTGGCGACTCTTTGGCAATGTGTACATACCTACAAAATCAATGACCTTTGCTGTTACCGTTGAACTGTCTTGTGCTCTGAATACATTTAGCTAATCCCACTGAGAAAATACTTGAGGAATTGCCTTGAACCCTCTTTTCTACATCTCCCTGTTAATTCCTCCAGCCCAACACTGCCTTGCATTATTATCATGTTACTGTACCAGAGAACAACACATCAGTAAAGCTTCTAGAGGCCTTTGTCTGGAGAATAAAAGGGTGGATTGAAATACTGACATGAAATCTTACCTGTGGTCACACTGTACCCTACCAAGATAATGGTACAAAAGCTTTTTTGTTGAAATGCTTCACATTTGCTGGTGGCAAATGATTTAAAGCTTTCTCCAGAGAGCCATTCACTCACTGGGCCTGCTGGTGGTTTGACAGTTCTGAGCATTCCTTTTAGCATCATGGAAATGTCCTAAATTGGGGGTGGGCAGAGAGATTGCATGTATTGCTTAATTTTGTTTGAAGAAATGTTTTCTTAGCTTAAATTTATCTTCTAGGACAAGAAATTGGATAAACAGTATGAATCTTTGTCTTTGTTTCACCCCAGTGTAAGTATGCCATGTACATGGAGAGATAATAGATCTTTGGTGCCCTCTTACCTTTTTCTCATACTACTTACATTGGAGTCAGTATTTGTGCATCTCTGTGCCCTTGCTTACAGTGCTACATGATTAAAATGCATTCCATCCCCTCACCTCCCCCCATCTCTATTGAAATTCTACTAAATCTTGCTTAAATGTTATCTCTTCCATGAAGTAAGTGAAGGTCGCATCAGACCCTATCATAGAAGCATTAGTATAGTATAGAAGCATAATACCGTGGGGAAAGTACCAGATTTGGATTCAGAGAACCTTAAGTACTTATGTGATTTTATACAGTCTTATAATACTTAAGCAAGTCACTTAACCTCTCTGGGCCTCATCTCTAAAATGAAGAGGGTTTAACTAAATGGACCAGGTCCCTTTACTTTGAAATCTTTAATTCTGAGAATTTTCCTTTAACTTGAATGACAAAGCTTCAGATCCATCGCAGTGCACAAGCCAGAATGTTGATATGATTATCCTGAAGATAAACATTTAGCTCATATACTTAGATTTTCAGATGGCCCAGCTCAATAGGGATTCCCCACAATGACTTTATTCTACCATGAATTCCTTTTTTTCCTTTCATGTTAAAATGGTGAATGGAAGTTTAAAGAGGAAAATTTTTCTTAAAGAGACTCTACACTCTTAGATTGAATGAGAGTAAGGAAACGTTTTAAAAATAAAACCTTTTTAAACCTCTCTTTTCAGAATGTGGAAATGCTGAGTAGCATGGACTCAGCATCTGTTCGCATCATCAAACCATTTCCTGTGCCTCAACCCCCTGGTCGACTTCAGCCACTTCAGCCTGCTCCAGTGATGCCCTCAGTGGCTCCAAAGCTGGAGCACCAAAGGATGGACACCATTCAGGAAGACCCGAGCACTGATTCAATCCTTGATGAAGATGCCTTTGAGAAGGATCCTTTCCCAAACAGCAGCTCCGCTGCAAAGTCTTTTGAGGATCTTACAGACCATCCTGTCACAAGGAGTGAAAAGGCATCCTCTTTTAAATTACAACGCCAAAGTCGCGTGGACAGCAAAGAAACAGAGTGCTAGTTTAGGGGTTTTGCCTCCAGCTTTTTTGACTTGCCTGTACAAAATAATTTTTTATGGGTTTAATCTAAAATCATTACATTATTTTAAGGGGCTAGGTAGGAAATGGGACAAACAAGGAAGTGACTTAACGGCAGATATTGGACATGTGTTTGACCTTCCTTTACTGAGATAATCCTCCTGTCTTAGCCCTTTTTCCTTTCAAGGAGGTAAGCTTGTTTTGAAGCTTTTTGGTTTGATTTTTTTGAATCTTTAAAATGTACTTTAACCTGTGGTGCAAAAAGCAGAAATCTAGCTGGATCAGACTGTGTATGTTTGCTTTTTGTAATTTAACTTTTTATTCATAACAGCACTGATTAGAGAGGTGAGATTATTTTTTAAAAACAGACTCTATGGTCCTTTGTATATTGGGAAACATGTAGAAATTATTTGTCATGAGAACTGCAACATCATCATTTGTTTTCAAAAGAAGATTGAGTTGAACCAAAATCTTGTTTTAAGTGATCTAAATGTGGGTCTCAGGTGTTACTAAGAGCCTTTGGCAGATAAGGAGGTCATAAAATCTTAGAAATAATTTCAGTAGTATAGCCCTTAAAATGGGATAAGAGATAATTCAGGTTCACAGGAAGAGGGAACTTAAATATGTTTTTTAAAAACACCCCGTTTCTTTTATAGGAGTCTTCCAAATGTTTAGACCTCATCTGCTGGTCTTCTTTGTGTTCTGTGATTTTTTGTGAATTTCTGTTGCCAAGAACTTTATTAGTAAGTCACTTATTTAAAGGAGTCTGTACCATTGGGCAGGAATCCTGACACAGAAAGCAATAATCCAAATACAAAGTACGAAGAATTCACCAAAAGTAACTTAAAATGTGGTCATAGATCAGTCAACTTATCAAGCAGATAAAAGCAGTCTTTCTTTTTGAGCTTTTTGATCTGTCACAGTTGTGTAAAGTTTTTTTTGATAGAGTTGTCAGTTTTTTTGATAGATTGGCAAATAGATGCTTGCATTACTTGCTGCTTTTGAAAGCGTCCCAGGATCCTGAAAAATTGCCAATTGCTAAATGATTCTACATAAAATCATGTATAGCTAATTTTGATTTACATAGAATAATGGAGTTAAAAGCTGAGAAAGTGCTCACCAGCCAAGATATTTTGATTCAGCTTATATTTATAAAATTAATGGGAATTAACCAAACCTGTGACAAAATGTGTTTTTTGAAGAATATATTTGTTACATGGATTCTTGTTACACTAATACTTGAAACTTGTGCCTTATGGTATTGTTATTGTTAACTGTTCATCATTTAGTTATACTTTTGGAATTTGAACACTGGGGTGTGTGTATGTGTGTATGAAAGTGTGAGAGATCCATATAGTTTCTAGAAAAATATAACCATTTTTTACAAAAATTTTATGACTTTTTTAAAAAGAAAATTGTCTTTGCCTTTCCCCCATGTATAGAATTAACATAAGATGCTCAGCATGGAATTTGTAGCTATGAAATTGGTACTACTTGCCTTAAATTGTTAATAAATATTTAATAACATTAAAACAGTGTTCCTAATTCCCAATACCTTGTAATTTACATAAGAAATTGCAAATGTTAATGGTAATAAATAAATTTGTCCAAGACTATAATAACCAAACACTAGAATTACAGAATGTCATTGGCACTTTAATGCTTTATAAATCAAATGCCAACTCATATTTTATGTAATTAATTAATGGTCGCCATCTCCTAGAAGAAGGTGTTCAAGAAGACTGTAATCATCTTTCAATGCACCTATATCCCGCCATTGAGGAAGGATGAAAGGCAGTGAGGCTGCTTTCTTCTCTAGCAAAGGCCAAAGATGTGATGATAGAAATTCATTTCCCTTTGGTGATAAATGTAGCCCATCTGATAGATATGAAGAGAAGTCCTATAATGAAGAGAAGGGGAAAAACAAAAGGTTTACAGTTGTCTGAAATTGAGCTATATAACATTTTGCTATTGCTAACATTTTAAAAGCTGCTGTTTACACTAATGACTTGATTTACAAAGATTCAAATTCTGAAAGTCAAAGATATTTTTTGTTCTAAAGAGAAAGGGCCTATCATGGCCCTTATGCTGCATTGTGCAGAAAACACTTAAAGCATTAGTTGGTTATTTATTAATTAGTTCTAGCATGCAGCTATGGGGACAGGGCAAAATATGTCCAGTTTTTCTAACTATGTAAGATTCTTTGTTCCTCTCCCATCTTTTCCCAAATGCCACTCAATCATACTCCATTGGACCTGTGACCTTATCAGTGTAGGCACTGTATTTTACAATAAGTTTGCTACAAGGGGTCTACCCAATGTGCTGGGGACCTTGTTTTCTATATTGCCTAGATACCACTGAATCACACTGGTTATGTCAGTTATTGAGCTCTCTCTCGCTATAAATGTCTTTTTTACTCATACATTTCTTAGATGGTATATTTTAAACTTTATAAACCCTAATTTGCAATAGGTTATGTTGCACTGCCCTTTCGGTGGTCTTCAACTTAATTTCTTTGAAGACTTTGAAGTGTTCTATGAATTTCAGCCATATAACATCACTGGAATAATAATGTTTAAAAAGATGGGCCTTTGTTTTGGGGTCGTTAAAAAGAGCTTTGCAATTCCCAAATGCAATCCAGCCCACCCTCCTCTTCCCATTAAATTCTGGATTCACTTCACTGGCAATTTTCAATGTCTGTCCAATATAAATATTCAAATGTATTACTTCTGTAAGTTGTTATCCTGCCAAACGATACCTCTTTCAAATCTCTTGAAGTACTTGAAGGTAGCTATTGCCCTCCCAGTGTCCTCCAAACTAAACATGGCAACACACACACAGCCTTCAAACAGTTATCATATGGCAGTCCCTGGTGCCGTTTCACTATTCCACTTGCATTTTTCTGAAAGTCTTGTGGACTATCAATGTCCTTCCTAAAATGTGGCATCCCCAACTCAAGACAGTACTACAGATGTAGTCTACCTAAGGCAGAATCCAGAGCATCATTTTGCTATTCTGGAAGCTGTGCCTTCCTAATGCATGCCTTCTCACTGGTTTTATTGGTTGCTTTACTACACTGTTAATTCATGTTGTGCTTGAAGACTTCTAAAAAACTCCAGTATTTTTCAGTTACATTGTTATGTAAACATAGTTTTCCTTCCTGTTATACTTGTGAAATTCATTTTTTTGGTTTTTCCTCCTTCTCTTAAGATTTATCCCTGTTAAATTTAAAATTTTCTCCACTCTCATCCCCATTTTATTAAAACTTTACTAAAACACCAGATTCTGTAAATGAACTTTAACCTTATCTTATCCTGAGTCATTTCCCTTCATACTATTTCCCAGCCATCGTCACATCATGCTGCCTACATTCCAGCCTTCATCCCAATCTCCTCTCCAGTGTAATCTTAAACTCTGTCCCTGGGACACGAGGGTCTAATAGGCAAGCCTTCGCCTTGCCCAGAACCAGGCTTCCAACACAACTTGCTGTTCATTTCCATACCATGCTGCTGCTGCTGCTGCTGTACTTATCCCCCTCTCCAACATGCTTTCCAGTTCTTTATGTGTTGTTCCATTAAAATGTTAACTACCTTGAGGGTAAGAACTGACTTGCCTGTACAGTGCCTGGTACATAATAAGCACTTAATATAGGCTTTATCATAAATTTGGTTCTGTATTCTGTTCTTCCGAGATACTTTTTTCCAAGATGCTATCCCTTCAGTTTTGCATCAGCTACACAGCTGATGAGGATGCTATCTAATGTCTTTATCCAAATTACTGACAGGTATGTTAAACTACATTGGGTCAAACACTGCAGACCAATCTAAATCTAGCCATTCAATGAGATCCAAATCCACCTAACTGTACTAATGTCTATCCCACATCTCTACATCCTTTCCAAAGGAAGAGCAAAAGATGTAGGTCTTCGACATTGTCTCACACCAGTTTACTAACCTTTTTTGATCTGGCATGACAGTATGATGAAGCCATACTAGTTCTTTGTTATCATCACTTATTTCTTCCCCCTCTATTTAAATTTTATTTTTATTTTCAAATCTGTATTCTCTCCTTTTTACCTCTCTGTCACCTCCTCCCCCCATTAAGAAATCAAGAAACTCCTATTATAGTTAAGCAAAACAAAACAAATTCCCTCATTGGCTATGCAGGAAAAAAAAAAATCTGCTCTACTGAGTCCATCACCTTTTCTAACAGGTGGGACCTGGAATTGTGCTTGGTCATTGTGCTGCTTGAGGTTCCTAAGTCTTTTGAAGCTGTTTGTCTTTATGACGTTGCTATTATTGTATAAAGTGTTCCTCTGGTTCTGTTCACTTCACTCTATATTAGTTCATACAAGTCTTCCCATGTTTCTTTGAAACCAGGAGTTGTTTCTTATAGCACAATAATAGTCATTCCATACATATCAAAACTTGTACAGCTGTCCTCCAGCTAATACATATCCCCTCAGTTTCCAGTTCTTTGCTGCCACAGAAAAAAGCTGCTATAAAATTTTTTGTACATATGAGTCTTTTTCTTCTTTCATCTCTTTAGGGTATAGAGCTAGTAATGGTATCATTGGGTGAAAGTATGCATAGTTCAGTAGCTTTGGGGGTAGTTCCTAATTGACTTCTAGAATGCTTGAATTCAGCTCTACCAACTGGGCATTAGTGTACCTGTTTTCCACAACATTTGTCATTTTCTGTTTTTGTTCACTTCGCCAATCTGATGAGGGTAAGTCAGAGTTTGTTTTAATTTACATTTCTCTCATAATTTAGAACATTTTTTATTTTTTTTAATATGGCTTGAATTTCTTCCTCTAAAAACCTTATTCATATCCTTTGACCATTTACCAATTGGGGAATGGAGCTTATTCTTATAAATTTGCATCAATTCTTATAGATCTTAAAAATGAAACTTAACAGAAAAGCCTACTATAAAGATTTTTCTCTTCTTTATCAGTTCTCTTATAATTTTAGTGAACTGGTTTTAAGTTTTATATAATCAAAACGGTCCATTTTACCTTTTGTGATCCACTCTCCCATCTTGTTTTTATCATGTTCCATCTATAGATCTGACAGGTAATTTCTTCCTTGTTCCCTTAATTAGTGTATGATATTACCCTTTATGTATAAGTCACATACCCATTTGGAGCTTGTTTTGGAATACAGTGTGAGATGTTGGTCTATACTGCTTCTGCCAGACTACTTTCCAGTTTTTCCTTTCTGCTGAATAGTGAGATTTTTGTCCCAGTAACTGGAATCTTTGTATTTATCTAGACTACTATGTTCATTTGCTTCTATATATTTGTATACATAATCTGCTCTGCTGTTCAATTACTTCTTGCTTAACCAGTGCCAAATTATATTGATGTTTAATACTTTATAATAAGGAATTTATTATGCCAGTGGGATAAATGACATCATGGCAACATAATGATTTATTATCCCAGCTTAACATGTAACTTATCACTCAGTTATTATATATCATGTATCCAGTGGCATTATAAATGACATATTATAATGTACTAAGCTATACACAGTGCACTATAATATGTAAAATGCCACATCACAATGTATTATGTTATACTATGCAATCCCATGCTATGCTACGGTATACTATATACTGTGCCACAGTATATTATTCTATACCCTCTTGTATACTATGCTGTACAATATAATATATAATACTTTAATATACTATATTATGTTATACAGTAAAGCATGATATATAGTATAATGGTATGTATGGGATAGTATAGCACAGTATATTATAATGTGGCATTATGAGTCTATTAAATGTCATATAAAACTGACACAATGCATTTTCCAACATAATGCTATCATGTCAGCTTAATGTCATTTATTTCATTATAATATATCACTTGACTAATAAATGCCATAAAATAATGTACTACACTATGCTCTGCTATTCTATCTTATCCTTTCTCAGTCCATGCTATGCTGTACTATACTACACTTTACTACTGCTGCTACTATTTTATACTATACTGTATATTTTTTATTATAGTATGTTACAGTAAAGTATAGCACAGTATAGCTGGTACCTTAGCATATACTTTATATACTATGTGTTGTTAGTCATTTCAGTTGTGTCTGACTCTTCGTGACCCCATTTGGGGTTTTCTTAGCAAAGATAATAAAGTGGTTTGCCATCTCCTTCTCCAGGTCATTTTACAAATGAGGAAACTGAGACAAACAGGTATAAGACACTTGCCCGAGGTCACACAGCTAGTAAATGTCTCAGGCCAGATTTGAATTCCGGTCTTCCTGACTCCAGGCTCTATCCATTGCACCACTTAGCTGCCCCATATCATATGTTAGAGTATAATATCTAGTAAAACAAAGTATGCAGTATGAAAAAAATACAGCACTAGATGCTGCAGCATAGTACAATAGAGCTTAGCATCATGTTGCACATCACAGTATAACAGTCGAGTAAAATAGGTTGGGGTACAGCACAGTATAGTATAGACAGTACAGGAAAAGTGAGTATAGATAGCCAAGTACAGCCTAACAGCAGCATTGATGGTGTTTTCTAGTACATTCTAACATGATCTGGTGACACTGTGCTCTGTACAATGCTACACTGTCTGTGACGTGAGGATACACTATCCTACAAGCCACAATGGCTGCTCACTTTCTTTGACGCTGTGCCCCATAGTGCTGCCCTGCCCTGGTCTGGGTTCATGTAGACTGCTTTACCCTACACCATATATCACTCACCTGCACTATACTGTATTACACTACACTCTTCTATCCCATCCTATCCTGGTCTGTGATATACTAGGGAATGCCATGTTATGATCTTTAAGGCACATACTGTTCTATATGCTATACTCAACAATAAATTGTTATGCTGTGCTTTAGTATATTATGTTATAACATGCTATGCTTTATTAGTTTGGCATTATGATATATCACACTGGCTTAATAAATGCCATATGCAATGTTAAATAGGATATATTGTATATAATAATGAATAACATACAACAGTATATAGTACAGCGTAAGATAACATAGTATAGTCTACTATATATTACATAGTAAGGAATGGTACGTGCTATAGCATAAGCTAATATCACATAGCATAGGTATGGGTACCAAGCATAGGAAGCCTGTGCCCAGAATCAGCTGCAGTATAAACATCAGAGCCATGGAGGGAGGCTCCCAGAGGAGCCATTAAAATAACATTTACTGTGTATGTGTGTTTACGTGTACCCTTATAAATATATCAGTGTAATTAGTACTTAAGTACCTCTTTCTATATGTGTATGTATGTATATATACACATGTATACACACAGTTACACACATATACAGAAATGAAGGGAAACCTTTAAATATGAAAAACAAACAGGTATATAATATGAAGGCACCACAGTCACTGTCATTAGTTTGTTTGGTCACATTTCTTTCTTTTTTTGTGTGTGTATGAGGCAATCGGGGTTAAGTGACTTGCCCAGGGTCACACAGCTAGTAAGTATCATGTATCTGAGGTCACATTTGAACTCAAGTCCTCCTGACTCCAAGGCCGGATCTTATCCACTGTGCCACCGAGCTGCCCTGTGGCCACATTTATCTTAAAGCACCCCTTCTGGGCCTAGTGGAAATCTAGCTAATCCTTCACTGCTCTCTCAGCTTGTCATTGGGACATAGGCAGTTGAGGCACGTTGTAACTTAAATCGGTCCCCTGCCTCACACCCAAAAATGAGGGACCATTATACTTCCAGATGGGATCAGTAGCAGTTCTTTGATGAAGATACATACTTCGTAGTACTTATATAGAAGGATATATATACACTGTCACAGAAGCTATGGGAGGAAAGAGTAAACTAGGAACAAGGGGTGGTAAGAGTCAAAATTCAAACCTAGCTCTTGACACCAAACACAGGGCTCTGTTCACTAAAGTATGCTGCCTCAAGAAACTAGGTCTTGTCTTTTTTATAGGATAATCATTTAATATCCCAGATTTTCTAGTGAAATTTCCTGTTTTATTTCATTTTCTATATCATAAATGCTTCTTAACAGATTATGGAGAACATGACTTGAATTATGTCAATCCAGGTTAAGTATAAACAAATTATCCTACCTTGTTATCCTTTTGCATTAGTGTCCACAGGTCAAGGACGTCTGTCCCACAGTTTTGGCCCACTTGCAAACAGGCTTTGGCATATTCTCCAACAACCAGATTCATTCGATTTAATTTGCTGCCTGAGGTAGGAAAATGCAGATATCAAAATTCAAACCACCCATTAAATGACAACTATATCCAAGAATAACTTCACTTTTGTCTAAGATAGTAGTCTTTGCTAGCGTATGTAGAGATTCAAGTGGGAGAGAGCATACCTATTGACTGACTTTCGTAGTCACAGTCCTAAGAGTTAACTGCAGAGCTAGCGTGCAAACCTGATTTCTAATACATTGTCCTTTACTACAAGATAGCTTCCAAAGATATGGTCCCTGCCCCTATGCCAGTGGAGAGCAAGGGAGAGGTTTTGAAGGTTTTTTGTTTGTTTTTTAGGAAAAAGTGTGGTCCCATGATCAAAGTGAGGTGTCAAAGGCTACCGTGGAGAAGAGCGATCCCATTCTCTAGGTGAAACTTGATTAAAATAGGCAGCCAAAACCTGAACAGAAGAATCCAAAATGCAGCTGGAGCTAACAAATGCACCCTGACTGAGGACCTCAGTGTTAAAGGGCAAATGAATCCCTTTGTCTTGCCACAAAGAGCTGTGGAAAAGAGTGATTCAGCTAAATTTCAGATGACTAAAAATCACAGTAAGTGATACTTATGTATCCCTTTACAATTACATAACAGTTTTATGTATTTTATTCATGTGTTATCAAACATTCAGCATAGCCAATGGTGTAACTTAAGGCTTGCCAAAAACAAAACGTATTTTTTTTACCTTGAGCAATACACTCCTTTTCCCAAGCTGATTCACAAAGAGGAGGTGGTGTTATAAGAATAACTCTACTTTCAGGAACATCTACAGACTTTAGATACTGTATCATGTTCTCTAAATTCTCAGCATACTCATCCAATGGAACGTGTTGCTGGGGATTCTCATCTGTTCAAGGGAAATGTTAAAATATTATTGACCAAAGCCAAACTATTCACATCTTCATGCAAATAGTCTAATTTACTCAGTCACTGAAAAGGTCTATATATACCACTCTTCCAAAATGAACACAAAATCATCCTCTCAACCTCTAGTGCCCGTCCTCCCAAACTACTTTGTATATATTTGTGATTATTTACTTTATATTTATACTGTATATATTTACATATATTCTTGTCTCCCCCAAAAGGATATAAGCTCTTTGTGAATAGGAATTGCTTCAGTCTTTGTGCAGCATATTGTATAGTTTAAAAAAAAGGGAGTAAAAAGAGAGGAGTAACTCATTTTAGGTATGAAACATCAGATAAATTGACCTAAAAATTTTCCAGAGTTCTATGAATTCTTTCAATATAAATGGTACTTTCAGCAAGTCAGCTGGGACTCCTTGTATCCAAGTTGCCCAGCTGGCCTATCCTGAATACCTGTACCATAATGGTAACGCATGCAGTCAACCCCATCTAGGGAGTCCCTGCTTATAAGAACAAGATACTGAGAGTTGGTCCTGTGCCAGTTGAAAAATGGAAAAAGTATTTTTAGAAAGCTAACTGGGGGGAAGGGCTAAATGTCAAAATGGATTGAAGTTCTTTTTTACTGTATCAAGCAGTTATCTCTTCTGGGGTGGGGGGTAGCAGTGAAATGAGAAAAAGGAAGCAGAGTGTAGTAGAAATAACACTTGGAGTGAGACCACCTAGGCTTGAATCTCAGCTCTATTTACTACCTGTGAATGACAGAGCAAGTCACTCAGGGCCCCCTCCTCTAGTCCCTTCCACCAGTCATGCTGGAGAAAGAGAGCAAGGCCCTTACACCTGACAGGCCACCTCAGGCCAAATTCATACCTAAACCCTGCCGGTGGCCATTGCTGGGTGTAGGGCTACCTTGCCCTATGCCAGCTACCCTGGAGAAGAACAGGGCCACCTGTACTAGGAAGATCTTGGCCAAACTTAGAACTAGGCCCAGTGACTTCTCCTACATCATCCTCATTTAATTTGAGATGAAGGAACAAATCCAAACCCCCTCTCTGTAACACTGCTTGGAGACTGAGCTGCTCTCCCCATCTGCTACTCACTCTCTCTATCCCTGTAACAATTATCAGTGACCTCTTAAATGAAAACTGCTCCCTGCCCCCACCTCAGGCAGATCTCACCATGTCCCTAATCCATCACTACATACCCTCTGTACCTGTTTTGTGTCAGCCCCTTCAACATTTGTCATATTCTTTTGTCATCTTTGCCAGACTAATAGGATAAAGTAGAACTTCAGTTATTTTTATTTGCATTTCTCTAATTATTAGTGATTTAGAGGATTTTTCATGTGATTATTGATAACTTGGATTTCTTTCTTTGAATGCTGCCTATTTATCATTTTTTTTGTCATGGGTAATGGCTCTTAATCTTATAAATTTGAACCAGTTCCTTAGATATCTTGGATATTACCTTTCTCAGAAAAACTTGTTGCAAATATTTTTCCAGTTACCTGTTTCCTTTCTAATTGTTAAATTAGATTCATTTGTGCAAAAACATTTTAATTTTATATAATAAAAACTATCCTTTTTATTTTTCTGGGATCCTCACTATTATTTGTTTGGTCAATGAACTCTTTTATTCATTGATTCAAAAGGTAATTTCTGATTTCTTCCTTGTACCTCTGATTTATCCATTTGGAGCTTATCTTAGTGTATGGTGTGAAGTCTTGTTCTATACCTAATATCCAGTCTGCTGTGTATCACTCCTAGCAGTTTTTGTCCAATAGTGAGAAGTGATTCTTTGGGTTTAATAAAATATTATGCTACTGTGTTTGCTTCTGTATATTACATACTTAATCTGTACTATTGATCAACCTCCCCCCACTTTTTTGGACTAGTACCAAATTGTTTTAATGATTACTACTTTGTGGTATGGTTTTAGCCCTGGAATTGAAAGGCTCTCTTCCTTCCCACTTTTTTTCATTGTTAGAGGAACAAGAATAAGCATTTATAAAGTACCTTCTAGGTCCCAGCACTATACTAAGTGCTTTTTACATTTGACCCTCACAAGAACCCTTAGAGGTAGGTGCTATTATTATCTCCATTTTACAGCTAAGCAGAGAGTGATAAATGACTTGCCTAAAGTCACACAGCTAGTTAAGTATCTGAGACCAAAGATGAACTTAGGTCTTCCTTACTCCAAGCCTAGCACAGTATCTACCACACCACCAGCTGCCTCATTGATACCCTTGATACTCTTGACCTTTTATTCCACCAGATGAAAATATTTTTAGATTTATAAAATATTCTTTTGGAAGTTTTATTGGCATAGCACTGAATGAGTAAATTAATTTGGGTAGTACTGTCATTTTTTATTTTATGTGACTCATTACTGTTACTGTTTCTGCAATTATTTAGGTCTGTATTTCTGCAAAGAGTATTTTCTAGTTAGATTCATATAATCCCTGGGTGACTCTTGGTAGAATTAATCCCATTATTTTGAAATTTCTCTTTTTAGCTCTCCCTGCTGGGATTTATTGGTGACATATAGGTATGCTCATGTTTTATGTGGATTTTTCTTAGGTCCTGAAAATTCAATCAAGTTATTATTTCAATTATTTTTTAGTTAACTCTCTTCAGATTCTCTGAACACACAATCATACCATCTGCAAAAGGTGATAATTTTGTTCCCTCCTTGCCTTGTTTAGTCTTTCTATTTTTATTCTTGTCTTACTGCTATAGGTAGAATTTCTACCACTGTTAAACAATAAGGGTGATAATGGACATCCTTACTTTACTCCCGATCTTGTTATAAACATCTCTGTTTTCCATTACATAAAATGTTTGCTCTTGGATTCAGATAAATACTATTTATTATATTGAAGCGTCATTTATTTCTATGTTTTGGTTGTTTTTTTTTTACTTTTTAATAGAAATGAGTATTAGATTTGGTCAAAAGCCTTTTCAGTATGGACTAATGTCATATAATTTTTATTACTTATAGTACAAACATGGCTTATTATGTTTATTCTCTTCCTTATGTTGAACTACCTCTGCACTCCTGGCATAAGTCATGCATTCCTAGTCATAGTATACAATCTTTCTAATATGTTGTTTTATTCTACTTGCTAATATTTTATTAGAAATTTTTATATCTGGTATCAAGACCATATGTGTATCATAGAAAGAGGTTTTGAAGGGTACTTTATTTTCTTACTATTGAAAACAATTTACATAGTAATTAAATGTTCTTTAAATGATAGAATTCATCTAGGCTAGCATTTTTTTTTCCTTTGGGAGTTCACTTATGGTTTGTTAAATTTCTTCTCCTGATAATTGGGTTATTTCAATAGTTTATATGAATTCTTCTGTTAATATGGATATTTTATATTTTTGCAAACATTCCTCCAAGTTACCAATTTTATTAGCACATAATTAGGAAAAAGTTTCCAATAATTTCCCCTATTTTCTCTTCAATCGTTGTAAGTTCTTTTTTATTTTTGATACTAACAATTTGTTTTTTGTCTCATTTTTTCAAATCAGCTTAGCAAATTGGTTATTAATTTTTAGAAAAACTAGATCCTAGTTTTATTTATGAATTCAATGGTCTTTTAGCTTTCTATTTATAAATCTCTTCTTTAATTTTCACAATTTCTACCTCAATATTTAGTTTGAGGATTTTTGATTTATTGTTGTTCCAAGTTTTTTAAAATCATATGCCCAATTCACTAATTTATTCTTTTTCTCTTTATTGATGAAAGTGTTTAAATACATAAATTTTCCCTTCAGAATTACTTTAGCTATATCCCATGAGTTCTAGTATGTTATATCATTATTGTAGTTTTCTCTGATGAAACTTCCCTTTGTTTCTATAATTTGTTCTTTGATCCACTAGTTCTTTAGAATTAGGCTAGTCCCCAGTTCCTTTTAAATTCTCTCTTTAATGGATCTTTATTGAACATAATTTTATTACATTATTAGGAAATGTGTTAAATGTTCTGCTTTTCTACATTTTTGGTGAGGTTTTTATGCCTGAATACATGCTTCACTGTTTACATTTTATAGGTGGAGACAACATACACAATGAGTATAGATATAAGAGGATATAAACAAAACATACACAAGGTGAGGGGAGGAGGAGGAGAGGAAGGTAGTCCCAGTAGGAGAGATCAGGACAGGCCTCCTGTAAGAGATTGTATTTAAGTTCAACTTTGAAACATACTAAGGATTCTAAGAGGCAGAGGCAGAGGTGAAGAGGGAGTACATTCCAAGCATGGGAGGCCACTTGTGCATAGGTATGGATGGAGATGAGAAATGTGTGTCATTTTTGAAAAGTAATTATAAGACCAGTGTGGCTGGGTTGCAGAGTGAATGAGGGGAAGTACTATATAACAAGAATGGAGACAAATTATGAAAGATTTTAAATGCCAAAAAAAAAAAAAAATAGGTTGCATTTTATACTAGAGACTAGTGGGACACATGAGTTTTATAAGCAGTAGTATGGCACTGTCAGACTTAGGCTGTTAAAAGTGTATCACTTTGGCAGTTGAGTGGAGGATGAACCGGAGAAGGGAGGGACTTAGGCAGAGAAATATCAATTCTGTCAACAAACTGGGTAGGCAGAAATGTACTAGAAAAAATTCACATTCAAGGCAAAAGAGAAGTGTAAAACGGTATTGGAAAACTCATGATGACTTATATACAAACTTTTTTACTAACATACTAAGCAAATACTTCCCTCTCCTCCTCATCCCTCCCCTGCAAAAAAAAAAAAAATGGTTACAGATACTTTGTGAGATAAAAATGGATAGAAAAGAGGAAAAAATCATTACCTTTTAAAGCACTGTCATTAGCACCAAAGAAAATTGTAACTGCAACGACATTTTCAGCATTACTACTTTTCCTGATTAATCTTCGAAGAATGATTTTACCCCATCTGGTGTTGTAACCTGAAAATCCACGATTTAGAACATCACATTTTCTGAAATAAAGTTAATTAAAAAGAAAAGAAAAAATATGAGTAAAAAAAATTACTGATCCATTTAGCAAATCTTTAATATGACGGTGTACAATCTTGGCATTACTGATATCCTATTATCTGGTTATATATGGCTCAGTATGAGCAGAGTAATAAAATGAATAAATGACATTTAAAGAAATAGTTTAAAGGCCAGGGTAAATATAGTAGATTCCCACTAGAATATACTGGGAGACAAAAATGTCATTCTTTTTTTTACAATCTACTACAGTGAGATACATAGTAGTAATTGAATGGAAAGAGCATGTTTTTTATAGGTTGATAACTTCGGTTTGAATCTTGGCCCTGCTACTTGCTATGGATATGATCTTGGGAAAGTCATTTAACCTTTATAGTTTTCAGTTTATATATTTGAGACAGGAATTCCAGTTCAGGCTCTGATAATTATTTGGGTACAATCATGGACATGTAACTTAAGTTTACTTGTATAACTCACCCGACAGATTGTTATGAGGAAAATACTTTGTAAACCTTAGAATGCTATATAATAATGTCTAGTGTATTCACTACTAAAGATGACAACTACAACTCTCTCTGAATTGTTGAGAATATTTATTAGGGTTATTTTAAATGACAAAAAGTAGGGGGCAGCTAGGTGGTGCAGTGGATACAGCACTGGCCCTGAAGTCAGGAGGACCTGAGTTCAAATCCAGCCTCAGACCAAACACTTGACACGTACTAGCTGTGTGACCTTGGGCAAGTCACTTAACCCCAACTGCCTCTCCAAAAAAAAACAAAGTAGATTTCTGATTTTTAAAAATGGTAATATTGAAACTTAGTTGACTAATCAAATTCTGACAAATAGTAACTCAAAAAATGAGACCGGTCCTTAGGTCCAGTTTCTTGGCTTCTTTGGGTAGACAATCCTCAAACTCCCTTTTAACTAAAACTGCATTTTTGGCCATCTTATAACAATCTTAATACTTATTCTTCATAACTTTTTAGTTTTACCTTTACACAAAGTGACAAGGGAAACCTTTTTGCTAAACTGAATTGTCTGTTCTTTCTTTATCCACACAATCCTTTCCAGTGTTAATAAGCAAAGACACAGTACCATAAATTGAGAACTAGAATGGTCCTGAGAGGTCATTTTGTCCAACCTCTACATTTCACAGAAGAAAGTGAGCCTCAGAGGGACAATGTGACCTGCCTATGGTTTTATGAGGGTTTTTCAATTTGTAATTTTATGGGTGAAAGGAACTCCCTGGTTAGAAAGCTCCCTTTATCAAAGCAGATCTTCAGCTGTTCTAAAACTTATAATATCACTGAGTTGCCTGACTCATGAAGAGACTGAATGAGTAGGTCCCCAAGGCAGTGTGTGTCAGAGGTGGGGCTTGAATCTCAGTTGCGATGCTTTTTTGCCTCTTACACAAGCATTAACAGAGCTAGGATTTGAACCGGAGACTACACAGAGATTCCAAAAAGAGCACATTTTTCACTATACCATGTACTCTTTGCCTTAATGAAAGAGCTATGTCTTTACAATTTTCACTAAGATATAATCATATTTTAAAGTAATAAACACCAAGATATAATTAAAGAAACTACTCTCACCTGGCTAGCTTGTCAGCCAGTGATGCTCCCCATCCACCCTGATGGAAAGAAAACTGAAGAACAAGTTATAATTTTAACCATTTGTCAGTTATTTATATATTTAATTTAAAATTTTAATGAAGGGAATTTTGATTGATAATTCATAAGATTCCTTTGAACTGCCAATCTCTTCTGCTGACCCCCAACATTTCATTTAAAAGTCATTTTTGGTTGCCATAGTAATACCTCAGAAGTAATCTCAGTTTTGAAGTGATTTTCCTTCCTGTGATGATTAAGAGATTTCAGCTTCTCTACATTTTATGAGGGTAAATAGAAGTGTTACTTATCTCAAAAAGCAACTTTAAAATCTATATCCTCTATCCATAGAGATTGCCTATAAGTTTAGTGAGAAAGCAGACAATTCCAATGACTATGTTAATTTAACACTATAATGGAAAGCATTAGTAGCAAGGAAATTGATTACTAGAGAACCTACCGTAAAGTTGGCTCTACACCTTTGATCTACAAGTTTTTGTTCCTCTCTTCACCCCCCATGCTTGAGATTTAATTTACTGACCACTGGCCATAACAGCATTGATTTAGGGTTGTCAGTCTATGAACTCATTCACATGGATGGCCCCTCCAATGATAGAGATCACAACCTATCCATTTCTGTCCTTCCTCACTTATGCAATAAACATTTCATAAACCCTTTACTATGTGCCAGGCACTGTGCCAAGTGCTGGGAAACAAAGAGAGCAAAAAGCCCCTGCCCTCAAGGAGCTTGTAGACTAATGGGGGAGACAACAAGCAAACACATATGTACAAACAAGGTATATACAGGCTAAATGGGAAATAACTGAGAGGGAAGGCATAGAATTGAGAGGTCGAGAAAGGCTTCCTGTAGTCACATCCTCTCATGAACTGGGCAGGGGATGAGCTTAACAAATGTGTTGGGGGCCTAACTTGCTTTCCCTTGCCAGTCTGAGGATACCAGTAAATGTTTAATATATAAATAAGAAAAAAAGAATTTGTAATTTTCACCTTTCCTAAATTTAAGTTAAAAAAATTAATAGACACTGAATTGATAGTCTCAGAAGAAAATGTATATTTCCTTCTGGGCCATTTTATTTTAAAGTCAGGCAGTGTAACAAGTGCAATAGGCTACAATAATTAAATAATAATACTTATAACAACAGCTAACATTTATATAGCAGTGCTAGGCACTGAGCATACGCACTTTAAAACTATTACTTCATTTGAGCTTCACAACAACCCTGGGAGGTAGGTGTTATTATTATCCCCATTTTTCAGATGAGGTAACTGAGACAATGAGAGGTTAAGTGACTTACACAGGGTCACATAGCTTAAATGTCTGAGGCTAGATTTGAATTCAGGTCTTCCTGACTCAGGCACACACATAGGTAGAGGCCAGCATCCTCATATACTAGAGTGGCGATTTCCTTAGTATCAGTGGATGCCCATAACTAAACAAGTTCAAAACCTTTCCTAATGTGAAAGGAACACACTGTACAGAAAATTATATTGCAAGAAATACTTCAGATGGCCTTCAATCATCTCTCTGTTCCATATTCTTCATTATTCTCTGAAGCACACTTATAAAGGGTCTTGTTAAGCATTACATATGGGAGAAGTAAAACATGTCCTAGACAAATAAATTCTACCTGTGACAGAAGACATCAAAAATGTAATCAACATACTGTGGATGACTTTGGAAAGGTTTATATAGTTACTATTTTATTCAAAAATAAGGTCTTCAGGAGGTAGGACCCCTGCTGATGAATGCCCAGACTCCTAGGGTAAGCTTGCTAACAGTAAACAAACTGGGTATATGTGAGTAGGAGGGGAGTGGGGGGAGGGGTCAGCAGAGATATTTATAGGTTAGGAGCTTTTAATTTTTAAATGAAGTTCGAGGGGCAGCTAGGTGGCACAGTGGATACAGCACCGGCCCTGGAGTCAGGAGGACCTGAGTTCAAATCTGCCCTCAGACAAGTAACGCTCACTAGCTGTATGACACCGGGCAAGTCACTTAACCCCGAATGCCTCACCAAAGAAAAAGTTTTAAAAAAAAAAAAAGAAATTCAAGAAGCTACTCTGCTTCTACAGGACTTCACCAGGTGAAGAGTCCTGATTCTAAGAGAGGAGGAGTGGCTTGACAATAAAGGAGGAAAAGGGAGTAGGAAGTGAAGGGTTAGATTTTTGTCTATGACTATAACAGAATGCTGTAATAAGGGGAAATAATTCAGGCTGACCCACAAGGTTACAAAACAGAAAAAGGAGGCAACAGAGTTGCTGATAAACTGCAGGGCTGTTTGTACAGAAGACCTCTGGATGGTTTCAAAAACAATGTGTTCAAGATAAGAAAAGGAATTGTGTCAATTATGTCAGCTGGGAAGCAATGTTTGGTAAAGAGAAGAAGCCAGAGTTATTTGATCAAAGATATAAAAACTGAGGCAACTTAGGGGGAATTTTTTGGTCTCTTGTGCAGGTTACCTGCATACATATATTTGGCCTACACGAATGCATTCTGGCTCCTGCATGTGACAATCAATAAACTTTTACTTAATTTGAGATAATTTCTGCCTCCTGATTTTTATGACCCAACAGAAGGAAAGCACTCAGAAATACAATCCTACTCAAGGCAAAGATGTTAAAGAACATAGGAATTACTGCTGAGGAAGAAAGTTCAAGAGACAGATGGGGACACTAGTAGAGAAGGGGCTAAGGTAGCAATGGAGTGGTGCAAAAAAGAGAACACTGACAAAGGGACAATTGAAGGACATGGGAATACGGGGGAGTTACCTGGTTCTATGGAATGAGACTATGGGTCCTTGTGGGTGAGGATATAAGGAGGGGGTAACTGGGATCCTGTGGGGGCTGGGGGAAAGATGAAGATACACAATGCAGACTGGGCTCCCAGGTACAGTGGGGAAAAAAAATGGAATCAGAAAAATCGAATTAGAGTGCCAGCTCTGCTACTTGCTACCTTTGTATCTTTTGACCTTATTGTTGTATGCCTGTGAAACCTGGAGTGCCAAGCCGGAAAGGAATCGCTTCCATTTGAATTGTCTTAGGAAGATCAAGATCACCTGGCAGGATACAGAGGTCCCTTCTTGAACTAAACTGCTAAGCCATCAGACTCTGCTACAGGGAGCACTACTCCGATGGGCCGGCCTCACTGTTCGAACGCAGAATGTAAGATTGCCAAAAAGACTATTTTAAGACTCAGTAGGCCAACTGTTCACATGGCTGTCAGAAGAGATGACAGGCCACTCTCAAGAACTTTGTAATTGATTGTGTGACAAAGAAGACAATGGCACAGGTCTGCTCAGCATGGCATACCCTCATCAGAGAAGGTGTGAGCAAAGCAAAATTGAAGTAGCTCAAAAGAAACTCGAGATGCGCAAATTTGAAGAATCCACCCCAAATATTCACATGGATTATTTGTGCCCGACCTGGAGTAGAACATTTGAGCTCGTACTGGTCTGATCAGCCACTGTTGGACACATTGAAACTTGATTCTAACATAGTGATGTCATTTTGGTCCTCTTCCAGAAGGAGGGACCTTTTGGCAAATTAATCTTTATCTACAAAAATCGGGTGGAGGTGGGAATGAGGGATGGGAAATGAGTAGTGTGGAGTGTGCTGGATTTGCAGTCAGGGAAGACCTGGCTTCAGATTCTGCCTATGACACTACTTTGAGACTATAAGCACGTCTTCAAACTGAATCTGTTTGCTCATCAAGGATAAGAAGGTCTGCACGATCTACCCTGGTCCATCCCCAGTTGTTCAGTGAGGATGAAATGTATGTGAAGAGCCTTCTAAACCCGCCGGGCTGCACAAATGTCAGCCATCATTGTTACTCAAACAGTCGGTCTATTTCTAAGGTCCCTTCCTGCTGTAAATCTGATCCCCGGGGCAAAAGATGTGGAAGGAAACCTATGGGGTCAAACCAGGGAGAACAAGGAGCCGTGGGGAAGAGAATGGGGTCTAGGATGAACAGAAGAATTATGTGTGAGTGAAAAATGAACATGAGATCCACGTTAGAGTTAAGAGAAGGAGTTTGATGAAGGTAATGGGCATAATGCGAGGCGATTATAGAGGTCATGGATGGGACCCATGAGATGAGAGTACGATGACACAACCGCGGCTTAAGAATACAAAATTTTAATGACCCAAGACATGAGAAGATACCTCCCCTCTTCTTTGTGGAGGTGGAGGGCCATGGACAGCGAGGCGTCACAGTGGATAGAGTGCTGGGTCTGGAGTTAAAATTCGGCCTCAGGACACTAGCCGTGTGACCCTGGGCAAGTCACTGAACTCTGCCTCAGCTTCTTCATCTGTAAAATGAGCCGCAGAAGGAAATGGCAAAGCACTCTAGGATATGTGCCAAGAAAAGCCCACATGGGGTCACGGAGAATCGGGCACGACTGAATAACAACTGAACAACAAAAGGCCCGCGGCGTGGAACACTACACCCTTTTTCCACAGGCCGGCTTAGCTTTTTTAAATTCTCGGAAGGAAGCAGCTCTTGGGGGGGGGGGGCGGGGAGGGAAGCCGCGGGAAATGGAGGCGATCTAAAACAAGGGAGAAGAACGGCCCAGGAAGGCGGGATCCTGGGAAGGCCGCGCAGTACCTGGGTGATGGAGTCCCCGAAAAGCAGCACCTGGGGCCAGCGCAGAGCGCTTCCGACTGCCTCCACCAGAGAGCCCGACATCCTGCCCAGTCAAAGCACTTAAGCCCGGATGTGCTTCCGGTGTAGACGAGGCCCGCTTCTGGCCCCTCTGAGCCCCACCCCCTGAGCCCTTGAGTCCCGCCCCGCCGCTCAGAACCCTGCCCCCTCCGAGCCCTCGAGGCCCGCCCCCTCCCGCTCTGAGCCCCGCCCCCGCCCCTCTGAATCCTTGAGGCCCGCCCCCGCCCCAAACCTTGAGTCCTGCCCCGGGCCACGCCCCCACCGCTCCGAGCCCCTCCCCACCCCACCTGTTCCAAGCCTTCTCTGACCCTTGATCAACGTAGCCCAGACCACTGCCTGTTCTGTGCCTCACTGCAACGACTGCTCTGAGCCCCTCCCAGGCCCCTCTTGAGCCTGGGCCCTGTTCATCTTTCACCCCTTCTGGGCATCTTTCTGCACCGCGATCTGAGTCCTCAGTCTCAGAGGGCGTGGGTTTACGTTTCCCCTCTGTCGCTGTATGATCGTGGGCAAGTCCCTTGTCTTTTCTGGGTCTCGTTTTCTCCTCGTTCAAATATCCCCATCAAATGAAACGAGGAAACTGAGGCCCTGGGGGGGGGGGTCATCCAGGGCAGCCGATGGCAGAGCCGGTGTTAGAGCCCTAGACCTCGGATTCCCCAGCCACAGCTGCCTCCTTATCACCAGGACCTTCCATTCCTGTCATAACTTTGGGGGTGGGGGGTCGCGGGAGGGGGCTCAGTCAAAGCACTTAAGCCCGGATGTGCTTCCGGTGTAGACGAGGCCCGCTTCTGGCCGCTGTGAGTCCCGCCCTCTCCCCTTCATTCTCTGAATTCACATTGGGCGATTGCTTGGAGCCAGGGGTGAGGGCATGCATGCACGACTCAGGCATTATAGAGGGCTGGAGGGTGGGGAGAGAGAGAAGGGATAAATAGTATCTTCTTTATGTGCCGCATAAATAATATCTTACCTGTTAATTTCAGCAAATCCTGCCCCACTAATTCTGTGTACTGCACAGAATGTAAGGCACACCTTTGTAATGGTTCTGTACTAGATGTTGCTGACACTTGGGAAAGGTTTAGAACCTGTTTTGTTGAAGAGCATCCACAGATGTTAAGTAAGAAATCTGTTTAATGATTTTAACAGGGACACTTAGTGACTTTGTCACTGTGGGGAAATGTACTTTTTCTTCTGAGTTTAGATCCAATTGGTGCACATTAGTTTTTGAAACAAGTTTAGAAAAGATGAAAATGACAAGCTCTTTTTCTTGTTTGTATATTAAATATATGTATTAAAGTTTGTATATTAAACATTTTCTCTCTCCCCAGGCCCTCAGCTGAGAGCTTTTCCTCATCATGTCACTGAAAATTGAGGCCATTGACTGTCTTGCCTATTTCCCCCCTTCCTTGTCCCACATCTCCCAGATACCTTCTCCCACTCTCCTCCTTCAGTCTTCTTCAATCTTGTCTCATAATGAGGTGGCCCTTCTCCTTGATAAGGCAAACACCTCTACATCTATGTAAGTGATTCTAATCTATCCAGTCTTCTCTAGCATATTTCCTCCTCTGTCATCCCCCTCCTCCCACTTATCTTCAATCTCTCCTGGCCTACTGGCTGCTTCCCTACCACCTACAAACTTGCCCACACCTCCCCCATACTCAAAAACCTCTCATTTGATCCATCTATCCCTGCTACCTATCTTCTAATATCTTTTACACTTAATATCTCCACTTCTTTTTCTCTCACTCTTTACTCCGTATAATTTCCAGACTTAACCATTCATCCAAAACTGCTCTCACCAAAGATACTGATGATCTCTTAATTGCCAAATCTAATGCCTTTTCTTAATCTTCATCCTTCTGGAGCTCTCTATAGCCTTTGATACCACTGATCACCTTCTCCTTCACAACTCTGTTCTCTCTAGGTTTATGAGACATTCTTCTTTCATTATTCTACATATCCAACTGTTCCTTCTCAGTCTCCTTTACTGGATGTTCATCCAGGTCATGCCCACTAACTGTGCATATCCTACAGGGCTGTGTCCTAGGCCTTCTTCCCATTTCCCTCTAAACCTTTAGTCTTTAGTCTATTTTACTTGGCGATTTCATCAGCTCCTATGTATTCAATTTTCATGTCTGTGCTGATTGATTCTCAAATCTATTTCTCCAGTCTCTGATTACCTCCAGTCTCACATCTCCAACTACCTATTGAACATCTTGAACTGGATGTGATGGGGGATGAGATTCGTGCTGGACCCCTAAAAGGAAAAGACCATGGTTTGGGGACCTGGACTCCAAAGCCACTGAACCCAGATCTCTGGTTTGTTGCACCTGGCCCCACCCTAGGCTATTCACCACTCCTTAATCCCATCCAGATCTTCCCACAGTCTTCCTGTAAAAAAGTGTCCATCTTGCCCCCATGAAATTGCTCCAATTCTTAAAATCTCGCCCATTTGTATTGGTGACGCAATAAATCTTGTCTCTGACTGAAAGAAGGCTTGAGTAGAATTCTTTCAAGGCAGACCTTTTGCCCTTGAATTTCAGGGTTCCTAGCACCCCTAGACTGCAACAGATGTCCAGTGATTATCTTAAACTCAACATATCTGTGAGAGATGATCTGTCAGAAGTGAAGCCTCCTCAAAGGGTTAATAGTTCTTATTAATAGTTCTCACAAAGGGCAGCAATTAGGAGATCACTGGTCATTTGGAGAGAGCTGTCTCAGTTAAATGATAAGGTCAGAAGTCAGATAGTAAGAGAATGGGAGGAGAGAAATTGGAGGCACCTGTTGTAGATGGCCTTCTAATTGTATTGTTGAAACACTACTTCTGACCTTGTCAAAACCCCCTCAGACCCTGTTTATAAGCACCTGGCAGAAAGAATAGAATACCCTACTCCCAACCTAAATTGCAAGACTTCCCGCCTTTTCTTGTCTCCGGGTAAACTTGTGTAACTATGTTGCTGGGGAAGATTTCCAAATAGATTGTGCCCCCTGAAGCCCAGCCAATGGGATAAGGGGAAGAGGGTTAGGGAGGAGGAACTCGAGTTAGGGTATAAATATGTGAGGGACTGTCTGATGTTGGCAGCTACCAGGTTGGGCGCTGTGGCAAAGGTAGGGTAAGATCTGGGTATTTTGGAAGTCGAGGCAGGGGCTGTGGTAGGCAGAGTCGTGGTGAACTGGGATGGGCTGGATACGGAGAAGCCCTGAGGCAATGGACAGTGCTTTGTGAGATAAGCTGGGTACAAGGAAGTAGCCGAAGCTTGAGCTCCTGAGGCAAGGGGCGGTGCCACATGGGAGTGGGACTGCAGAGGACTGAGTTCCCTCTGCTTAGTCCCCTCCCTATATGCAACATCATCCCCAGATGCCTCTTGTGACCTTCCTGACTTCCTGGGTCCCTTTGTGCAGCACTGATCCAGACCCCTCCTGAGTCTGACTTCCTAGGTCACGTACTCTTGTCTATGCGTCATTCCCAGATGCCTCCTTCCTATATCCAATCCTGGCTTCCTACGTCACTCCCTCCCCCTTGGTGTGCTAAACTGAGACAGCCCCTTCCGGTATCTGACCCTACAATCATTGGCTAGTAAGCGGGCTGGGGAGGAGGGGCTAGGTAGGTTTTTAGGAACAAGCGTGGTCAGATCACACGCGCTCTCCCCTGGCTCCTGCCCTGTTGCTCTGGCCTTGCTGCTTGGGCTTGCTATGATGGCTTTCTGTGTTGGCCTCTGAATAAAGCTCTGGTGTTGGCGCCTCCCGATGGCTCGTCTCTGTGTGGTGATCCGGCTGAGGACCGAAGACCCGGGTGTGGGTAAGACTCTGGTAGTGTGCTTCTTATAAGAGAAGTGGGTACCGGCGTACGACTGGCAGAAGGTCGGCGTGCGGCCAGTATATAAATAAGCCTTGCTTTCTGTGCATACTCATCCTCCCTGGCCATCGCCATTAGGGCGATGAGGGGCAGTACCCTTTCTCATGAGAAAGCAATAAACTCCTTTCTGCTTTCAAGGTAACTAAGTCTTTGTTTTGAATTTCAGTAGTGGTCTCTGTCCCACATGCGTCCAAAACTTAATTCATTACTTTTCTCCAAAATCATCTCTCCTTCCAAATTTCCCTATTACTTTTGAGTAATCTATCCCCCTGTCACCCATACCTGCCACCTAGGTGTCAACTCCTCACTCTCTCATATCCTCACCCCACTCCACCCTCTGCCATGTCCAATCCCATTGCGAAGTCTTGTTTCTACCCTTGGAACATTTCTTGTTCCCTTCTCTCCTCTGACATTGCCATGACCCTGCTGCAGACCCTCATTACTTCACACCTGGACTATTGCAATAGCCTGATGATTGGACTCCCTGCCACAAGTCTCTCTCCACCTAGTCCATCTTCCACTTAGCTGTCAAAGTGATCTTACTAAGTGCAGGTCTGACCACATCATCACCCGACTCCTTACATAATAAACTCTTATCGACTCCCTAACTTACATGGTAAAAAAATACTGTTTGGGGTTTAAAGCCTTTAATAACCTGCTCTCCAGCCCCCACTCCCACTCTTCTTACACATTATATCCCACCCCAAACCCTACCCTTCTTACTCTGTGACCCAATGACACTTTCCTTGCACAAAACATTCCATCTCAAGACTCGATGCATTTTCACTTTCTGTCCCCCAAGTCTAGAATTCTTTCCCCCCTCCCCCATCTCTGCCTCCTGATTTCCTCCAAGTACTGTTGATGTTTAGATGCTAGGGGTGCTGGGACAGTGAAATCACAACATGTAGGTCCTGCCCGAATGAATTCAACCCAAGTCTTCTTTCAGCCAAAGACAAGGTTTATTAAAGAGGAATCATACAGGTCAGACTCTGAAGGAATCTGAACATTTGTGATGCTCATAAGGACAAGTGGGCATGAGGAAGTCTTAGTACCTAGACGGGACAGGATGGATCTTATATACAGAAAGACTATAGGAGGTATCTGGGTGTCTTGATGGGAGTGGTCAGTACTTGAGGAGGAGTTTAGGGAGGATCTTGAAGCTGAGGCGAGTCCAGGGAGAATTCTGATGGGAGTGTCTGGGAATTTGAATAGGGT